CCAATTCACGTCATTATTACACCAGACAACCAATTCACGTCATTATTACACCAGACAACCAATTCACGTCATTATTACACCAGACAACTATTTCACTTAAAATCCCACATCTTTTATTGCGGACAACACCATGTCACACATCAGACAACCAATTCACGTCATTATTACACCAGACAACTATTTCACTTAAAATCCCACATCTTTTCTTGTGCTCCGCAGAATGCTACTTACACTGAAGAGTGTACGCGAACAGTTCCGCTGCTAAGTCAAAGGAAATTGGAAGTCGTCCTTTTAAAATATCTTGCTTGACCTGCAAGAAAAACTGATATCTGAAAGAAACAGAAGAACGAGATTCACTTTTTGCCGCCAAAAGTACCAAAAAAATCTAACTAAATCTAAAAATCAAATGCATCAGTATATTCGTTATTTAGTATTAAGGCATCTCAAAATGACATATTATCTTCATTAAAATAATAAACTAAAAGTAAACGTTTTCGTTGTACGTATAATCTTATCGTTAATTCCCAATGATTCTTAAATATTCAAAGTTATTTCTACCGTGGCTCCATCTAGTGTGTTTAACCTTGCGAGAAATAGTATGACTTGATGAAAAGCCTTTGACAATGTGCAAAAAATAACAAATTAGTGAAAAAATGAGGAATAAAACGCTTGAAGCATTATTTTATTATTAATATAAAATATAATAGCATGAATGCTCTAATACATAATTTTTATCACGTCAATAAAAAAAAACAAATATAGTTGTTAAAGTACTTAATCCTAAAATTACCGCATGAAGTCCGCCATCAGTAAATGTATTAAAAGCGTCGCTAATTTAAGTATTCATTCAATTAAAAAAATAGCTATATATACATAAAAACTATTTTATTTGAGATCTCTAAATAGCTGACGCACGCTTTTATAATAATGCCATTTTTATTAAAAGAATAAGCCTAACACTGGCATCTGTAAAATATTTTTACAAAATACGCATAAGTCTAATTAACATTCATTATGAAAAAAGAAAATGGAAACCGCTTGAATCGTAGCAAATTCAGTACAATTTTTGGAAAATTTGCTAAATGATCACCACAGGTTCTGATTTTTTAAAAAATGAAGAAAAAAACAGTGAGGGGGGAGAAGACTGAGGCAGAACTAGATTTTTTTATATTTAAATTCATACTTGATGTGAATTATGTAGTTATTCACTCATAAAGAAGACAATTTACTTATCACTTGGTTATGATAGACACAATTAAAAATTCCAATATTTCTTGCATCGGTAGATGGCACTAAACGGCAACAACAGGTTCATTTGTCAGCCGTCCCCCTGGCGATTGCTAAGGTCGGTCAGTGCCCAACCCTTGCCGGCGGGTAAAATACAAGGTGGTTATTAATAAGCCTCGTAGGTTATTGAAGATTCACATAAACGCCAACAGCATTTCGCATGATTTTTTTTTATTTTTTTTACGTGGTTGCTTTGCAAAATGGGCTTATTAACCTACCTCCGTAATTAACCGGTTCTGACAGAGAAGAATGCTTTCTTAAAACATAAGTATTCTTTAGCGAAGTCAGAAGAGGATTCAACTGAACAGTCAGTATTTTCAACAGCATATTGCATGCACGAGCGTTCTTATTTTCACGTTAATATCTTGTGGTAAAGCAATAAGTGCTAACTCTCTGTCCACCACGGGGAATCGACCCCGGATTTTTAAGTTGTAATTCCGGAGATTTATCACTGTCCCATCGGAGGACCCCATATATTATACATGGTAATGATAACAAATTCATAAATATTTGGGAAATTTTGTTCAATAATACAAATACAACCCACAAAAATATGTTTGTTTGTTTGAAGTTAAGCACAAAGCTACACAATAGGTTATCTGTGCTCTGCCCACCACGGGTATCGAAAGCCGGTTTCTAACGTTGTAAGTCCGCTAAAATATGATAAATCATGAGAGTATTTTACGAGTTTTCGTTACACATCATACCATTTGTTTTTGTCTATATGTGTATTATTAATTCGCCCAGCACGAGCGTGTGTATTATTAATTCGCACAGCACGAGCATTTTACTGTAGTTTTTTTTATTGCTGATTTGCTCCGTGGGCCTCCATCATCAGTATATATAAACCTAAACACGTTAACTCCCTGTGGTTATTAAGAACATACACATCTTGTATATGCTGTGGCTACAGAGATTGACAAGCATTAGAAGCACCCAAACAAACACAGTTTTATTTTGTGCTTTGACAATTTCATTTTCTTTAATTCTCAACTTACGCTGTAATCACGGCTTTCATTTATATCAGGTATTCATAGATATACAGCCTTTTATATTTACTGGTTTTCGGTTTCGATAAAAGAAGTATCATTGCGATTAAAACAACAACACTCTACGAGGGTGAAACTACGCCCTGGAGTTTCTGTGATACTCTAACTTGATTACCTTAAAAAAGGCGAATTCGATCACAAGGTAGATAAAAAAAAATCTGCTGTTACTGCAGGAAAAGTTTAACCATTTTCATTTAGATATCTATATTTAAGTCCACCCTATTCTCTAACTAAAACAAACAAACAAACAAAAAACCTCCACTATATTTCACAATGAAAACTTGCCTCGTTATACTCCAACTGAAATACTGTAATTCTACAACATTTCACACTCAAAACTTGCCTTATTGTACTGAAATAATAAATAATCACATTTCGCAGTAAAACCTTTCCAGGTAGAGTAATGTTAAAATGCAGAGGGGTGTGAAAAAATAATCTACAGTCTACCGTGATTTGTTTACAAATATTAAAAAACAGTGTTTCAAGTTTTGTAAATTATGGTTTATGACTTGAATTGTTTTGTTCTGTTGAGGTATTAGTACATCATTGTTGAGAATTGTGCACTTGGAGTTGAGAAACAACTTAAAGGGCGAATACGTGCGTAAAGACCTGTCTCAACAAATCACTTTACAAATCACCACACGAGGTCGCTTTTTTAAGGTTGGCTAAATGCTGTATATAGCGCAGAATGCATGTGTCCATAGGTCCATCGTACAGGTGGGGATTTACGTGCCCTGAATTAACATTATTATTGTTATATAGAGACTCGTGGAGTTTCATATATATTATTTTTTAACATAGTTAAGGACTGCAGAGATGTCTTTACACGAACAAATTGGACATCATTTGGAGTGATATATTTTCTTCGTCTTCCTTTTTTTTATATAAGTTTTAACAATCATATTCGGTAGCGTAGGGAGAATTGTGAAATTATAAAAAAAATTAAACAGCAAACCAGTAACTCAAATTAACAATGTGTAAATATCCTGCCTTTGTTTCTTTGTACGCAGATAATGAAGACGGTATATTTGAAAACTTTAGTAATGTTAATGTTAGTGCTAGTGTTGAAAGCACGTCATACGTTGTTTTATGTAGCTTTCCAACTTCTGATTTCACATTTTTAACTAGATCGCACTTGGGCTAAACGGCCAGTTCAGACAACATTCTAATTGAGATCTGCTGACCTGAGGAAGGTTAATCAATCAACAACTTTCGCCGCCAACACACATGAGCGTCCACAGGTGTTTTTCCAGAGGGAAGAAAGCACATCAAATTCAAGTTTTGCCACTACAGTCAAGATAATGGGCAAGTTCTTTGATGACCTGAGTGAAAATTGCCATGTCAAATATCCGAGAACTCACCGTGGTAGCGACGTTTTTCAATATTTAATTACTTAGAGTTATTAAAACTCAGTTCCAAATTTGCATAATCCTTAGAGTAAAATTATTATTATTATGATATGGAATTCATCAACTTGATTTTCGTAACAAAATTATAAATCATATTAAAAAATGCGAATTTCAAAAAGACTTGACAAAAATCACTGCTGTTTTCTATTAATCATTATTATTACAAATTTCAATCAGATCTTTTTCTAGTGATTGAAAGCAAACTTAATTTTTAGACAAATTATCACGTACAACATAATCTGCTTCTAAATACGATTGTATAAAAACATGGCAGATGTTTAACAATTTAATATATTAATAATTCTAATAAAACAAGGAATAAAATCGCTATTCTGTTATCTATAGAACTTTGCTCCAAACATATAATAACACACTGAATATTTTTGATGAGCCAATTTCTAAATACATTATTGATTTCTTGCGACGGTTGAACATTAAATATTCTAGTTCCGGCTCGATTCTGGAGAGTTTGTCTCATCCGATATTAACAGTACTGGTCAGTTTGTGAGGTCATTTATCCAGTATTCTCCGTTCTAGTACGATTTTGAGGAGCTTGTTTCATAAGGTCAATTTGTCCAATATTCTCTGTTCTAGTACGATTTTGAGGAGCTTGACACACAAGGTCAACTTATTCAACATTCTCCTTCCTGGTCAGTTCGATTCTGATGATCTTGACTTGATCTTATTTTATCATAACTGAAGACCAACATTTTGTCGGTAGACCCATATGGTTTTATATACGATGTATACAAATAACGTCCAACATATACAGATAATTGAGTATAAGATTACAACTGAGGCACCCTCTTTACTTTAACATTACCCAATATTCAGGCTTTGCTACTACACTTCATTTCACAATCTTAGCTGCACGTTCAACTATTCGAAGAAGCCTGGTGGTTTGTCCTAAAAATTTAAAATCTAAACCAATTAAGAATGTTAAAGTTTATAAGTTTTGGAAAAATAAGCAGCGACAGGTCCATAAACCCAACTTTTTTTTAAAGCTTTCGCTACTACTGAATCACGGTGAGTAATTCTATGTTTTTGTCTGTTATGATTCAAAGTGTAAAGAACCACATAAAAATCAACTGAAATTACTTGTTTTATAGGTAAAATGCACCAGAAATTATTGGGATTAACTGTAAAACATGGCGCATAAAAGTTTTTTTTGTGTGTTTAAAAATCCGAAGAGGGCCAGTAATTCTAGTGTTTAAGAATGAAATTTCAACCTAACGTGAAGTGAATCCTGGAGAAATCAAAACGATATTACTTAAAGGTCAGTATCCTTCTGGGACGTATGTATAAAAAATACTAGAAATATCTAAAATGTAATCACTGTAAATGTGATATCTGAAATGTAATCACGGTGAAATGGTTGCTTTGAACAGAAATCAGTTGGTGACACATCAAAAAAGCAATCAGTGACGGTGGCACATCAAGAAGACAAACAGACAGTGGCGGATCAAGAATAAATTCACCTGGTGGCACACCAAGAGAGCAATCAAATGATTACAGGCCACAAGACATCAAGAAAACAACAAATTGGTTGAATACCAAGATCAGGTAGTGGCATACATTTTGTTTTTTTGTTTGTAATTAAGCACAAAGCTACACAAAGGGCTATCTGTGCTCTGCTCACCACGGGTATCGAAACCAGGATTCTAGCGTTGTAAGTCCGTAGACATACGGCTGTGCCACTGGGGGGCAGTGGCATACTTATAAAGACAAGCAAGTGGTGGCTCAATGAAGAATTTTGGAAACCAATAAATACCTAAAAGCTACTACAAATATTATTATACGTACACATATACACAAAACTAATTCGCCAAAGAAGGCAGGTTACGCTCAGGTGTCTTCTGGAGGTAACAACTCATTATCAAGAAATTATTTCCATTTACGACAGAAACATTTCCATAATTTTCATCAAGCAAGACGTGCCTTATAGAGCAGAGGAAATGAAAGTAATTATACTTCGCTGAATTTATTTTTTTTTCTTGTAATTATAATTTTTCAACAGTTCGGTAATTTACTAGACTAATTTCTTTGAAAACACGGATATGTGAAGGCGGTCAGACTTGTCCTCCATTACCCAGCTCATACCCACCACAGTTTAAAGAGACAATTAACTTGCGGTTCATTCATACATACAAAAATCTGCTACACCAGTGAAAGATTCGAGGCGGGGAATCATTTCACCTCACCCTCGTTCCCGTAAAGTGTGGGAGGAGGTGTGGCTTTATTCTACACAAAGACTTGGGCAAATCGTGTGCGTTCCGCGAAGTAATCTTTGGTAAATGTTGACTCCTACACGTTTAGCCGTAACATCACTGTGATATGAATGATATTTCTTAAAATAAGGAAATCCTTTCTACCCAAGCACACTTCATGCGATGAAATAACGTACTTATGTGAAGGACTGGGAAGAAATAAGACTTAAAGAATTGAATAAAACAACATATGAATGATTGATAAAAAAAATATATAGGTTTAGTAAACTATGATATCAATGATTGATAAAAGATATATATAAAGGGTTGAGGATAATAAAATATGATATAAAGGGTTGAGGATAATAAAATATGATAAAAAGGGTTGAGGATAATAAAATATGATATAAAGGATTGAGGATAATAAAATATGATAAAAAGGGTTGAGGATAATAAAATATGATATAAAGGATTGAGGAAACCTCTCTGTGATTATCTCCTGCTATATTTTTATGTAATTTTTTCAATGAAAACGCCGAGAAGTATTCCATAACTATCTCTAGACCATAAAGAAAGGATCAAGGAAAAACTCATCAGAAATGATGAACAGTGTATAATCATCACTCAATGTTTCGCTCTATGAACACACGGGAGAGAGGGGGAGTGAGGTAGATTAAGTTAAGAAGAACTCAGATTGTTAACAAAAGCTGTAAAGACCAAAATTGTTGACAGAGGCTGTAAAGAACAAGATTAATAATGCATTATTAGTCTCAAAGTGGGTTCCTCGTCATAGAATTCGAAAAAGACCAAGATTGTTGACAGAAGCTATAAAGACCAAGATTGTTGACAGAAGTTGTAAAGACCAAGATTGTTGACAGAAGTTTTAAAAACAGAGACTGTGAATGACGTTTCTACTATGGTCTTCAGATCTCAGGGGTTGTTAAATTCTCCGTTATTACTACCTATGGACGCTTAATAAACGATAGGTGAAACTAACACATCTATAAGACTAGTTAATTTTTTCATTAGTTTTGCTTTATAAAATAATGAAAAAGGAAATTTCAAACGAAGTAAATTTAGGTGCTATTTAAGTTGTTGTTTTTTGTTTATTTGTTTTAGGGCAACGCTACGCAATCGTCTATCTGTGCTCTGTCCACCGCGGGAATTGAGTCCAGATTTTGTGTTGTAAGTCCATAAATTTACCTATGACCCATCGGGAAAAAGAAGTATTAATGTGCAGTGGGCGTGAAAGTATGTGGGAAGAACACTTAAATTAATTTGAACTAGACATTATTAGTAGAAGAACCTTGAAACGATTATTGGAGGGAAAAGACCCTGTATTAAGGCTAGTGCCATACTCCAGCAGCATAAAAATCATCCTATTTACGCTGGGGACCTGATGTTTAAATTAAAAATAATCATAAAAAAGTTGTGCTTAATAAATAATAACAAGGTATAAAGTAAAAGTTATTGATACCAGCCGGATACCTTCCTGTGATTGCTGTTTCGGAATAAGGGATGGCATCACTCTACCCCGACTACGCACTGACAAACGTACTGCGACAGGGATTTCTTAATTGGAAAGAGGAGAGTCTGTGTTTTGGTTGGTGCCAAATTACTTTCGTGTGTAAATCAAATTAACTACACCTAAAAATATCTTACAACTATGAAGAAATTCGTGTTTCTGTTTGGCAATTTTTTTCGGGAAAAACTACTAGCAGTGTCTCAAGAAACACCTTTATAGACAAACAATAAGTGTACGCTTGTCTACTCTGTTCACCACACCCCACATTTGTAATAACAGTTTCTTTTACTTAATTCACGAAAAAGCTACGTATTAGTTCAAAAATCGTCAATAATTAGTTTGTACACGATTAATTCTCGAAGATATTTTATGAAAACTAATTCTAGCTGAGTTTATTCTTTCAGTTGTAAAAGTGCGCAACGTTATTTCCATCAAGACTTGAAATAAAATATTACGTTAAATTTCCTCACAGTTAACAAAAACAAGCTTAACAATTAAACTAGATTGGGGATAAAATCTGAATTTTCACAAGACACGCACTGGGTGCAACAATTCTGGAAAACGAGCACGTTTCGGTTTTATTCTAACAATAGTACAACCATGCAGGCTAACAATGGACGCCTACGAACGAATGAATCTTTGTTATCTTCCAAATTATGCTTCATCTCGTGCTTTTGAACTTAGAATACGAAGAAAGTAATAAAAAAAAATCTTGTCACTTTTAAATGATTGGAACTAAGTTAACGACTGCTTGTAATGAACTAAGAAAACAGCATGAAAAGCCAATTAAAAACAACAACAAAAAACAACGTAGTAGCCATACAAACTGCAAGCAGTCTATCAAGTTCCTTAAGTTTCATCAAAATCAAATAAAAACAAACCAGGTGACATAAAGAATTTTATTTTAGGGCAGGAAAGAAGAATAGATAAAGAAACACGTTTCTAGTTGTTTACAGACTATTCACCCCCTGAGAAACGTTAGAAAGCTAATTCTTTGGAAAAAAAGTAGCGTCGATCAAACAAACCATTACCAAGACATACTGGTATTTTCAATACTTGATGGAGCAACGATTGAGAAATATCCAGCTTCTTATTTCAAAAAAACAAGTAGAGTTAAGTACGTGGGAGGATCATTATTTAAACCTCTTGTTTAATTAGATGAGAAAATCTGAAAATAAATATTGATTCAACAGAGAAGTATGGAGTACAAAATTCCACGATCTAGAATGTTTAAAGTCCGAGTTTTCAGTTACGTTTAGGATTCTGTAAGATGAAACAAAAACAAAAGATTCCGAAGTTTTTTACCTTGTGATTTCTTCTAGCAACTTGCACGGGTCAGATGCGTAAAACTTGACATTGAAATACAACGTGCACGGAGATGTACCTATCAAAAGAAACAATCACCAATCACGTGATCCTACTAGGCGTAAGGTTGATAGTTTCAACTCGTGCTTAATGTATTAGTAAAAAAATGACAGAACAAATTAAGTAAATACAGTCACTTATATCGTTTTAAAGAAAATAACTGGATAGTTGAAATTAACACTTTGTAGAAGTGAAATAAACAATATTTATAATTCAGTTATAATTAAAACAGCTTGTAGATCTATGTTTAACCACATTTAGATAAGGAACAAAATTTTCGAAATATTTTTTTTCCTGTACAAATTTTAATGAGTGAATTGCTAGAAAAAAAAACAAGGGTGTTTAAAAAAATGTGCACAGTAACAGCTATGGTTTAAATGACAGTAAAATGTTTTGTTTAATTTCATTTTAAAGGGGTATTAAGGGCTTTTTACTGTGTTGCTAACTGTACAGATCATAGTAAAACTTCTGTTCAAGTATTCTCAAGGGAATCCTTAGAAAATATACACTATCTTTGTATAAACACATCATTGGTTAAACATACACCGATGTTGTACAAACACATCATTGGTTAAACATACACTGATGTTGTACAAACACATCATTGGTTAAACATACACTGATGTTGTACAAACACATCATTGGTTAAACATACTCTAATGTTGTACAAACACATCATTGGTTAAACATACACTAATGTTGTACAAACACATCATTGGTTAAACATACATTTACACTATCTTTGTACAAACACATCATTGGTTAAACAAAAACATACACTAATGTTGTACAAACACATCATTGGTTAAACATACACCGATGTTGTACAAACACATCATTGGTTAAACATACACTGATGTTGTACAAACACATCATTGGTTAAACATACACTGATGTTGTATAAACACATCATTGGTTAAACATACACTAATGTTGTATAAAACACATCATTGGTTAAACATACACTAATGTTGTATAAAACACATCATTGGTTAAACATACACTAATGTTGTACAAACACATCATTGGTTAAACATACACTTATTTATATATTTCTTTCACGATTCCCACAATCTTACGTCCACTTAATGTTAAAATATCTTGATTTTGAACTGAATTTGTTAAGGTTTGTAATTTAACTAGTCTAACTATATCGCAATTACTCAGAGTCTACTTATGTTTATGAACCAAGTCATTTCACGCAAACTAACCTTGTTTCACAATACCGCAGTAATATCAAGTTTAAACGTTATCTGCTTGTGTAAGAAAATATTACATTTTTCACCTTAAATAATAACATATATGGATTTGTTTGTTTGTTGTAAGCACAAAGCTACACGATAGGTAACTGTGTTGTGCCCACTACGGGTATCAAACCCCGGTTTTTAGCGTTTGAAGTCCGTTGACTCTTAGCAACAATAACAGTTCAATTTCACAAACATCGAATTCATAACTTCTTTCGTTCCAAGACAAACATGTATATTATGACTAATGTCGACACAACTGCAAACTGTTTTTTTTTTTTTTTTTATTACCACACCAAACTAAGAGGAAGAGAAAGTAAGAAAGTTTCTTTTTCGTGTTTAATGGTCGGTATAACAACAAAGCAACTAAATATCACTTCATATTCCTTTTAATCAACATGCCCGCCAGGTGTCTCATTGTTTTGGAAAGAGTCAACCAAAGGCGTCACGACTTCAAGCAGCTGTCTCACGATAATTTTCCAATTATCACGTGACCCTGTTCATCTTAAACTTCTCGACTGTGGGGGTGGTTAGATAACCTGACACTTGCCCTGAACTTGTGATCATGAACTGCAAAATTATAAATCTGAATTTCTTAGAAATGATTAGAGCATACTTCCATACACGGTAAGTTTTTAGCTCCACTACAGTTTCGAAAAATTAGTAACAAGAATCACGTGCGGAAAGGTAGCACAACGTCAAGAAAAAGTAAAACTTCCCACGGTAGAACATCGTGAAGTGGCGACAAGGTCATTTTTTTCAAGGTAGTTAGGTTCAAGAGGAGGAGGACAATCTTACAGTGATAATAGCCATGAACCTAGAATGAGGAGCGAGCGAAGCTGCTTTAGAAATAAGTGTTGTGGATGAAATAATTGTGTAATGAGTTACTACACCATTACAGTAATCGTTTTATGAGTTACTACGTCATTACAGTAATCGTGTCACGAGTTACTACGTCATCACAGTAATCGTGTCACGAGTTACTACGTCATTACAGTAATCGTGTCACGAGTTACTACGTCATTACAGTAATCGTGTCACGAGTTACAACGTCATTACAGTAATCGTGTCACGAGTTACTACGTCATTACAGTAATCGTGACACGAGTTACTACGTCATTACAGTAATCGTGTCATGAGTTACTACATCATTACAGTAATCGTGTCACGAGTTACTACATCATTACAGTAATCGTGTTATGGGTTACTACATCATTAGAGTAATCGTGTTACGAGTTATTACATCATTACAATAATTACGTTACGAGTTACTTCATCATACAGTAATCATGTTATATATATATATATTACTATATCATTACAGAAATGAATAAAAACTCTATAACCCGAGCACTTTCGAAAGGTGGAACTTTCTTCTTTAGTTTGCCCCAGAAGAAGAAAGGTCTAACTTTTGAAAACGTTCGGGTTATCGAGTTTTTATTAATTTCTATCAAGACTTCTTGAACCTACGTGTTTTTCTAACATTATGACTATATCACTACAGTAATCATGTTACGAGTTACTACACCATTTCCCCCCCAGTGGCACAGCGGTATATCTGAGGACTTATAATGCTAGAAACCGGGGTTTTGGGCAGAGCATCGATAGCCCATTGTATAGCTTTGTGCTTAACATAAAACAAACAAACATTTTTCACCTAGGACATAGGATGTCCAATATGGCGGAGTAAACTATAGGTCATGTCACATTATGACGTCAGTGCAAGACCTATTTTGCGTCAGTTCCTATGTGTACTTGTACGAAGCAGACACTTGGATGTCCAAGGTTTGGGCAATACAGTGCGCTAAAAATGGTTAGCAAAATTATATGATTTTATGTTACAAAGCCCTGGCGGCAATTCTAGTTATTACTGATACTGAATTACGCAATCACGTCTTCAAAATACTGCATTAGATTTAAATATACCTTGTGTCGATATGGGGTTCAGGGGTAGGTTTTGAAATCGTTATTACAGAGATAGTCTCTATAGTTTGACCCTTAAAGTATGAGGTGAAGACACTTTGCGCGCGCGCGTGTGTGTGTGTGTATATATATATATAGATGAAGGGGAGAGGGAAAATAATATTAGCTTGACGTAACAGTTACACTATGTTAAACAGTTATGAACATGTGCTAACAAATTATTCCCGTTCCTGTCAGTAAATACAGAAATTGTTGTTGCTGTCATTGTCCTCTTGTTAAATGTATAGTTAGACTGCTATCACTACAAGAAAGTCGATTATCATGAGTTCACGTGCTTTGAATAAATATATACGTGTTAAA